ATTGGGGGAGGTTTTGGGGTTAGGAAGTAACAAAAGGGTGACATCTTCTCCTATTCCTTACCAGTCAAAACCTCACGTACCTCCATGACAAACTGGCCAGAATAGGTTCCTGTCATGGTGGAGCTCTGTCCAGCAGCCAGGATGCCCACTGCCCAGATGTACAGTGCAGCAGGCCCAAAGTAGCATCCCAGCATAAGGCCCTGGGAGTAATAGGAGAGAAAAATATGTTTCTGTCCATGATCTGTTTAGTCAACACTCTAAATAGTACTCCTCAGTGGTAGCTCCCCGTTCTTCATTTATACCCTCCTTTGCCAAGTTCTGGAGTCTTGATATGGTGGTGCAGGATAAGCACTGGACTGCTAACCACAAGGTCGGTGATTCAAACTTACCAGCTGCTATAGAAAGGGTTGTGATGAGTTGGAACCAACTTGACAGCACCTAGTGGTAATCTTTACTGAAGCACTTCTCCATCCAAGTTTCTGTCTTTCAGAGATGTTGGGTGGGTTCAAACTTACCTGTTGATTAGCAGCCAAGTGCATAATTCTTGCACCAGAACTCATTTGGGAAATGCTATATAATAGATAGTCTACTTTTGGAAAGTCACAATATCGTCAACATGAAGGGACTCAGAAAGCCTAAGAAAGACTACTTTGAGACACCTCAGTTAATATCTCAAAGAACAATATTTTATCAACCCCACTCTGAGATGTACGGATGTACATTCATCTTTTCATCTGATCCCCATTCTATCCAGGAAATCCAAAATGCTCGTCTGGCATCTGGACCTCTGAAATAAATGGCATTCCAGAAGAACTATGCTCAAATATGAAGTGAAACTACAGAAAAGGCCAGATAATAAGCCAAGAATGTGGCTCAGAAGCAAAGATCACAAATCAGAGCATGCTTACCCCTTTGTAAATGTCTACTGCCAGTGTCAAGTTATCATCAGGGAAGAGGTCATCAGACCTGGGAAAGCTGCTGTTTTTGCAGACTTGAACCTAGACCAAAGTAATTTAGGAGCAATTTTTACTTCAGAAGCAAAGACCAGATAAGAAAAGCTCTCCCATACACAGTGCTTATCATCTGGAAACAATCCTGAGTCTGAGGCAAGTTCCCTAAAGCTGGGTAAGCCAGTCCACCTTCCAGACCATTAGTTTGCACAGTGACTTTAAGAGGCAGTACTGAGGGGTTCATTTCCCTGAGCTCAAAGTTATTTTCCTACCCTATTCCAAGGAGTCCTTGTGTGGCGCTATAGGATAAGCACTGGACTTCAAGACTTTAAAAGCCACCAGCTGCTCCTCAGAAACCCTATACAAGGTCACTAGGAGTCAGTACCAACTGGACAGCACTAAACTACACCACCTTCCCTTTCCAATCTTCACTTTACTCTCTCGACACTCACTACCACCCATTGTCCTTGCTTACTCACCACCTGATTGTTGGTTTCCCCAAAAAACGCTTCAGCAAAGACTGAGATGACAAAGACATTGATGATGAAGGCAATAAAAAGAGCAAGGCAGGATTCAATGACAAAGTACTTATTGGCTTCTCGAACTTCTTGTTTATTTGCCCGATTTATCTGTCTAGACTAGAGAAAGAATAGCAATAGTCATTATTTTTGACCAGCTGGAACCTGTACACTTCATTAGTATGTAGTCAGCTGAAGGATTTAGAGGGTAGACAATTGAACAGATGAAAGATGAGATATCCAACATTCAATTAGTGCCTTACTACATGACCCTCTACAGACATCGCTCATTCCCAAGCAGACATCAGTGACTGAATACTGAGCTCTCAGTTGTTGTAGCTGGAAGACAGCTGATCTACAAAAACTACCTGACTTCAGTCAAAGGGATATAGGAGTGAAACCTATGAGAGTCGGTACTTGATGGAACTGCTCTGTTTTTCTAGACCTTGCAAGTTTTCCACCTTTGACAGGGTGTAATCTTGCCACTTTTCTATTGCTCCCTTTAGTTGAAAATATTTGAATTTTTTTTCTTGGACAGATTCCACCTTACACAGGTTCCTGCATTCACAGGGCTTGCGTAATCCTAATTATAAAGGGCTCTCATATCTCTCAGCAAACGATTGTAGAAGTCTGATTAGTGAAAACCTGGTTGGGTTCTTTCCTTCTAGCTTCCACAAGACCACTCATGTTTTTAAGATTTAAACATTAGCGTCTTGATACACTTTCAGATGTTTTTCAACTTCAGTCCCAATTTCCTTATGGGACAGTAATCTCTGATCACCTTGGTGATAAAAACAGAGTCTGAGTATGTGGGCTTATGACATAAAGCCTTAGGAAAATAATATTGCTTATTCAGGGTGCTAACAGGTATAAACTAAGTTTATCTCTTGCAATTAGGATAAGATCCACAAACTATCCATGAGGCCAACTGAGTTAGGGACTTTGCTCACCTTGACTAGGGCAGAATGTAGGTAGATGTTGTGTGGACTGAGGTTAGCTCCCACGATGCCCACAGCCTGCACGACCTGTAGGATGCCACAGCCTGAACAGGATGGCACGAACATGCCCGTGAGTACCTGGCTCTGGCTGGGTTTCACTGTAACATACTACATACCAACATAAAAACTATTAGCCTTTACTGGAACATGAGACTGGGAAATAGTAACATAGTAATACCAAGGAACATTCAACCTCCTTTACTCCTTACAATCCCTTCTTTTTCAGTCACTAGCATAAAGAATAGAGAATTATCAAAAAACCAGGCAACATAAGTGAGTCAGAGTTATAGTCAAGACTGCAGCACCCAGAAATTTCCTACATTTAAGATATATTAAACAGATGTGCAAAGAATAGAATGCATTTTCTAAGGAAGTAAAGTATTTTCAAAAGGCCTTACTGCTATTAGCTTTACAATAATTCCTGTGAGACATATCCAGCCAATCAGTCAATTCATGATCTTCTACATTTTCATGTTCTATTTACCTGTGTTCACCTAAAAATCACTCACGTTTTCCACCAGCAAACAGTGAAAGATTCATTCATAAATCCTTCTAACAAATACTTTCCCCGGTCTAGCTTCTTTTTTTTTGGGGGGGGGGGGGAGGGGGGGAAGGGGCACGTGTGCAGAAGGGTAGGGGAATGAAGTCTTAAATCAAGCTAGATAATCTACTCACTCAGACTATATTTTTTATAGTTCAGCAAGCTGTAATCAGTTTATAGAGATGAGACTTAGAGAGTGATTTTACTGCAATATGGTAGTGGTGGTTATGTGCTGTGAAGTCAGTTCCAAATCATAGCGACCCTGAATAGGGTTTCTGAAGTTGTAAATCCTACAGGAGCAGATAGCCTCATTTTTTTCCCGTGGTAGTTTCGAATTGTTGTCCTTGAGATTAGCAGCCCTACTCATAACCACTACGCTACCAGAGCTCCATTACTATAATATAAAGGTACTAAATTTTTGGAGTGCTGGGTTGGGGGACAAAGTGTGAAATTCTCACTATATTCCTTATGTGTAAGCTCATTAACTGCTCCAATACAGGAAAAGTTAACTCTAACGTTATTATAAACCAGGATGTACAAAGAACAAAACCACCCCCATCCTGGATCCCAAGGTTAATAGCCAAGAATAAACAGGAAGATGGTTGCAATCCCCTGCTCAGTCTTTTCTTGCAGTTTTGTTGTCAGAACGGCCAAATTGGAACCAGAAATTCTACTCTAGAAAGACCTAGAAATTCTAGTCATTTTTAACCTTCAAATCCCTAGAGGATTTCCTGGACATTGGTCTTGGCTATAATGCATAACCCTTCAAACTGGTCATGGACTAACTGGATTTTTGTTAACACACATCATACAATGAAACCTTCCTAACATTATGAAGATTTCTATGAAAAAAAAAAAAATTTTTTTCAAGACTAAATGAATAGCCTGGAACACTTACCTCGTATCCAAATGTGAGAGCCATAATAGTGATGAGAAACCCAAAAAATGCTTCTAGCTTTCGCAAGCCTATAAGGGAAAATACAACAGTGAATCCCAGAATGTGACTCCCTTACAAGCCTATAAGAGAAAATGCAGCAGTGAATCCCAGAATGGGACTCCCTTGCAAGGGCCAGACTTCCCATCAGCCACACAGACAGAAGGTGGTACCTTTGGCATCTTTATCCCAATTTTCCTTACCATATTTGTCCAAAAAGAGAAATACAAAAGTGTCTGCAATGGTGATGAGAACTCCAGCCCATAGAGGAACCCTAGGTCAGAGAGAAGAAATGGAAATTAAGGAAAAGAAAGGAACTATTGGAAAACCCTCTCCTCCCAACAGCATTCCAGACATAGAACACTCAGGGAAGCTAGCTGCCTGAGAGGGCAATGGCAGGAAGCCAGGTCTGGGCTCAGTTTAGAATCACAGCACCAATTTCATTATAGTCATTCAGGGAGTTCACTATCTGTCATGCATTTAGGATATAAAGATGACAAGTATGGGTCTTACCCTCAAGGAGCTCACTATCGAGTGGAATAAACTGACATATTGTTGTTGTTGTCAGGTGCCATTGAGTCGGAACCGACTCATAGCGACCCCATATAGATGTAAATAAAATACAAAATGCCACCTCTTCTAAAATTGTTGTTGTTAAGGGTCGTTGAGTCAGTTCCAACCCATAGTGACCCTGTATAGGATTTCCGAGGAGTAGCTAGTGAACTTGAACCACCATGCTTGCAGTTCAAACCTACTTTGCAGTCCAGAGCATTAACCCACAGCACCACACCAGGTCTCCAACAGAGGTGCATATATAAACTGCAATGAGAACATGGAAAATGTAGAGCCCAAATCTGCTGGGGGACAGGGAGATGGTTCTAAAAAAGTTTCCACAGAAGAAATAATACTTGGGCTGCATCTCAAAAATTGAAAATGAGTTGTTTTATGAAATCTAGCAAAATAATAGGTTACTTTCTAGAGGAAAACCCCCTCACCTTCCCACAGACAGGAGATTGATGGCAATGGCTGAGCCAATGACTTCTTGCATATCTGAGCCAATGATGGCCAACTCTACCATCAGCCACAGGATAATTCGTGGGATCTAAATAACAAACATCAAACAGTACAAAAATGTGGTTCTGATTAATCATTTCTAAGTGCTTGCTCAGTAATTTTAGAATTCACATGTATATTTGCACAGACCCATAAACAGTCCTTATATGTCTCCAGACTAGAGATGAAATAAATAACAGAGTTTGGTTCTCCTTAGCCCATCCCCACACTGTGGCCCCAGCTGGAAAAGGAAAGTGAATGTCTGGCGGTGGAGCCTGTGAGAAGGTCAGGGTGGCAGCTGATCCTAACTTTTTCTCTTTCCTTATATTTCAGTGCCCTTGGGTAAAGTCATCTAGAGCACAGTGGGTAAGGTCTTGGCTGCTAGCTGAAAGTTCAGTGGTTTGAACTCACCAGCTGTTCCATGCATTAAGGACATAGCAATCTGCTTCTGAAAAATTAGCCTTGGAGACACTGTAGGGCAGACCTTGCTCTGTCCTATGGGGTTGCTATGAGCCAGAATCAACTGGGCAGCAATGGATTTGGTTTGGATTTGCCTTGTTTGTTTTGTTGTTGTTGTTTTTTCCTCAATAAAGTTAAGGGTTTACTTTCCTGCCTAAAAACAATCTCAAAAGATTTTATGGAGAATAAAGGAGACAAAATGACTTAGTGGGTTATGTGTTGTGCTGATAACTATAAGGTCAGCAGTTCGACTCTCCCAACTGTTCTGTGGGAGAAAGGCAGCTTTCTTCTCTGTAAAGATTTATAGCCTCAGGAGCCCTACATGAGTCAGAACCATCTCCATGGCACACAGCCAGCCAGCCAAAGCTGCTAATACAAGGGAACTTCAAAAAGTTCATGGAAAAATAAAATGAAAAGATAATGAAATTTTGCCATGAAACTTTTGAAGCCCCCTGGTACACTCAAAATAGGGTTCAAAGAATAGGAAATGACTGCACAAGATGAGATCTATTCTGCAAGTTGATGATACAACACACCTGAAAAATCTGGATGGATGTTCTTTGTGTAATAATACACAAGCAAATGAAAAAGGAGCTCTGGTAGCGTAGTGGTTACGAGTTGGGTTGCTAATCTCACAGTCAGCAGTTCAAAACTACCAGCAGTTCCGCAGGAGAAAGATGAGGCTTTCTGCTCCCATAAGCTTTACAGCCTTGGAAACCCTATGCAGGGTCCCTAATGAGTTGAAACTGACTCCACGGCACACCACCACCACCACCAAATGAAAAAGGAGCCTTGAATAAAGTAGGCAGAATTCAGTGATGTGATGTTGTTGTTAAGTGCCGTCCAGTCGGTTCTGACCCATAGTGACCCTGTATAGAGTTTCCGAGGAACGGTGGTGAGCTTGAACTGCTGATCTTGCAGTTCAAAGCGACTTTGCAGTCCAGTGCATTAACTCACAGCACCACACCAGGACTGATGTGATACAAAATAGGAAATTAACCTGACCAAATAATTTGGCTACAATCTAAAAAAGGAAATGAAACATAAAGCCAAACCAGAGGTATACTGCTATCAAATCAGGGTTAAAAATACTTTCCCAATATATAATTCAGCCCTGTTTAGGTGATAAAAAGAAAATGTCTAAAAAGGAGCTAGGATGTTTGGTCATTTTCTGATCTGAAATGCCTAGAAGGGAACTAAAGAACTATCAGGGTAGTACAGTGTAAGCCCCAAGGTTACGGTAAACTGAAAAAATGTTTAAGCAAATTCAAAGAACCTGCCGCATATAGTTTGGAGTAAAAAAGAAAGAAAGAAAGAAAAACAAAAACAAAAACACAAACTGTTCTTTTTTTTCAATGATGGGGAAAAGTCAAGCAAGAAAGAAAACACATATAATGCAAACCGGTGTTGTTTCATAGACACACAAATTCAAGTGTTTAGAGTAAGCAACTGCCATAAGCTTGACACTGCTTGATGCCAGAAGGTAGACTGAATGGCTAATGATTTCTCTAACAGAATTTTCTAAGAAAACATGAGTCTTCTTTCTTTCTAAGAAAACATGAGTCTCAAGTTGGACTTTGAAGAAGGGAGAAACCTGGTTTGGCAGAAAGAGGAATTTCCTTGGGCTCCCCAGTCCTCAGGTCACTAAACACCAAGTCCTCCATTAACTCAGTATACAGTGAGACCAGGACATACTGCCTAACATCGAGTTTCCTATGAAATAAGGGATAAACGAAAAGGACTGCTCACCTTTGGATATTGCTTGTGACATACTTCAGCAAGATGCAGCCCAGAGACCACTCCCAGTCTAACTGCAAGGCGCTGGAGCAGGAGACCCACAATGGTGGTCAACAGAAGGACCCAGAGCAACTAGAGAAAAACAAAATTCTCCCATGATACTCATTAGACAACAGGATTTGTCTGTTTGACAACACAAACAGGAAGTACCACATTCAGGACTAGATAGTCACCTTAAACCCAGCCACTGCTCCAGACTGCAAGTCAGATTCAATGTTTCCTGGATCCAAGTAGGCAATGCTCATAAGAAAGCCTGGACCCATGAAAGCCCAAAGTTTCTGAAAGCTAAAACAAGTATACTATACAAAACAGAAAAAGAATATCAAAGTGAGTACCACCTCCAAAATTTATTTGTTATTTTATCACAGAAGCAACAATATCACCCTCACAAGAACAAAAGATTTAAGACTGCACGTGTCCAACTTTCACTGAACCCCTTCTAAACTGATCACTTCTCTGACCAAATGAGCATCCTCTCCTTACCTGTCCTTTCCATCACTTTCATTCTAAAACTAGAGTAACACTATCAGTACCTCTGACCCCAACCACTGTCCAAATGGAATTAATCACCACAGTAAAAAAACAACAACAAAACACCAAGAAGCAGGAAACATGAAAATCATACCTTCCTATCAAAAAAAAAAAAAAAAATGTTCACAAGTACAAACTTTATTTTCAGGGCATTTATTTCTCTTAACAGCTTCTTTCTATTCTAATTTTTTTTTTTTTAATTCATCTTTGGAAATTAAGGCAGTTGATGCTGAATTGTTCAGAAGACCTGTCACTCACAGAACCTCACTAACCTCCTCATCAGGAATGGCAATCTTCTCATCTAAGTAGGTGGTGAAGGGGTCCTGTGACTGCTTTGTAGACCGTGGAAGTGAGGAGTGACTATAGGCAGGGTTGATGGCACCAAGACTGGCAGTGTCCCCATGGTCTCCAGAAGCATCATCTGAAAAACAAACAAGATATACTAACAACTCATGCTTATTAATATCCAAACTAAGTCTTTAACAAGCTAAACGCACAAAATAAGATGAACCTGACTCTGTCTCAACTTGTTTTAAGAAGTTTATTTATTCTTTATCCTATTTTTTAAATAAAGTAATCTTTGAACAATCACATGGCTGAAAATTCAAGAAATACAAAAAAAGCCAAAGTGAAAACTCCCTGCCCCAGTTACTCAGTTCTCACTCAGTTTTAGCAATAATCTCACCAGATTACCTACTTTTACATTTCTATTTCTACTTGGTAAATTTTCCAATCATTTCATTTTCTTCTAAAAACACTAATGTCTAAAGCTCAAAATATAACATTCTTAAATCATTTCCATTGGTAACCTAAAATCCTAACTTTCAAAAGATAAAAATGTACCGCCCTGAAACAACCTCCATAGTTTGAAATTATCTAGTTTTCTTTTGCAACAATATTAGAAACATGTTTGCTTTCCAATTTTCTCTTTCAGAAAGTATAAGCTTATATACTTATTATACATTTGTAATTATAGAAATAAAAGGGAGAATTGGATCTATAATGATATCTTAGTAGGACATGCATGGAAACTGCATGAGAACACACACACCCCTACAGTTTCTTTTTACCCACAGCCAGTATTTAAAATATAGTTGCTATTAATATGATTATTTTGAGGCCTATGATTTTTATTCCAGGGAACACTTTTGATGCAAACTGTCACTCTCCAAAAATACAGTGTAGCTAATAAAGCCTCAGGAATGTTCATGCTATACTTCATATTTATATCCAAGAAAAATATGACTGCTAATATTCAAAATAGTTTTGACTATCAAGTTTGTGTAAATATTTGAAAACAGAATTTTGATAAAAATATAACTTTAGATGCTGCTTTGTTGTTGTTAAGTGCCATTGAGTTGGTTCCGACCCATAGCAACCCTGTATAGGGCGTCCAAGAAGCCGTTGGTGAGCTTGAACCGCTGACCTTGCAGTTCAAACGGCTTTCCAGTCTGGTGCATTAACCCACAGCACCACATAGATATAAGCAAAACTATCTCTGGAGATTTTTGGAAGCAGATGCTTGTTAGTAGCACATGACTTGAAACCAATGCTTATTATTAAACATGACTTGAAACGAAGGGTATTTAATTGATGGCATGATCCTGCTTCAAGTAGAAAGTTCTAGGCAAGAGAGTAAAATGTAGATTTCTCAATCATAAAAGAAAATAAAATAAAAGATAAAAAAGTTTGGACAGTTTAGTGGAACAATTCCTTCATCCATCCTTGCCAAATTTGGTAGGACTTACTCAAGGAATCCTCCTTGGATGTTCTATCTTTGTCAGGCTTCTCAAAAGACGTAGACGTTACAAAAGCCTGCCACAATTCAGGATAAAATCTGCAGCTACAGGAAACCCACTAATCAGGAACCCTTTGCCTCTGACTAAGGCTTACAGGGAAGAGCAGGTCACATGGTGCTGGCACCCTCACCCTTGTGATGAGAGGCACCTCTCAGATTGCTCAGTGTTTCCTTAAGTCCTGCATATTTGTTACTCCTCAAGGCAGCCAGGGGCTTAGAGAGAGGGCTTATCTGCTAGATAAATACAAAACTCAGTTTGCTGCTATCACCAAACAACTACTCTAAACTGTTGTTGTTGTAAGTGCAGTCAAGTAGGTTCTGACTCATAGCAATCCTATATAGAGAGTTTCCGAGGTACAGCTGGTGGGTTTGAACTGCTGACTCGGTAGTTCCTAGTCCAGTGCTGATACTATAGCAGCACACCAGGAATCCATTCTGAACTACACACCTCAAAATTTCTGTATTTCACAGGCACATGTGACATCCAGTCAAAGAAACAAAAACTTTTTGTCTACAGAGAGCTGACCCACATCATCTGTAGTGACCCTGAAGTCATATGAAAAATTACAGGAAAAAAATGGAAATTTCAAAAGTTTAGAATTCACAAAGAAATAGGAAAGTCAGTTTAGAATTTGGAAGGATTCACCAAAGCACTCAAGAAGCTCCAATCAACTAAATAAAAGTATAAGGCATTCCCTGGGCTAACTCAATGCTCCACACACAAATAAAGCATTGGGAAAACGCTATGTGGAGCTCAAGTTTGGGAATCAATTCTGCCTTGCAGGCATTAGTTACAGATAATGCTAATTGAGCTCTTCCTCTCAGAATTAGAAATAAAATATGAGGCAGGTCTCGTGGTTATGAATCCATCTATTAACAGCCCAAATCACCAGATAGAGACATCTGAATGGAGCAGGGGAGAGACAGGGACATTTTTTGTTGGAATAGGAAATGAGAGGGAAAATACTATAAGGGCCTGTTACTGACTTAAGCTTAATTTCAAATGAAAATTAGAGAATAAAAAAGTTGTAATTTACCATCATCTGGTTTCGTCTGCTCAGGACCCAAGACTATGGTTCTTAGAACAGAGTTCCTAGAATAGAGTTCTGTAAAGGAAAACAGTGAGGGAAAGATATTAACAAAAACAAAGGACAAACCAGCACCAGCCGTTTGCTACTCTGTATAAATGAACCCTTATTATGTAAAAAGAACAAATCTTGTACCCAAGTAATTGTTTTTATGTGCAGTCCATCTGGTTCCGATTCATAGAGACTCTATGCACAACAGAAGGAAGCATTGCTGGTCCTGCCCATCAATACTGCCAGTGTGTCAGTCCATCTTGTCGGGGATCTTCCTCTTTATCAGTGACCCTCCACTTTCCCAAGTATGATATCCTTCTTCAAGGACTGAATCCCTCCAGATAACTTGTCTAAAGTACAAAGTCTCACTACCCTTCTTTCTAAGGAACATTCTGGCTATTCCTTATTTGTTGTCCAACTTTCACATGCATATGAGGCAATTGAAAATACCATGACTTGAATCAGGTATACCTTAGTCCCCAAACTGACATCTTGACTTTTTAACACTTTTAAGAGGTCTTTTGCAGCAGGTTTGCTTAATGCAATATGTCATTTAATTTCTTGACTGCTGCTTTTTTGAGCATTCAGTATGGATCCAAGTAATTAGAAAAACCTTTAAATAAACTGTAGTTGTTAGAATATGGTAAAAGAGATATCTAATAAAAATGGAAAAGTCTTAATTACACTTTTGCTGACAAGTCTTCAAAACCAAATTGAAGCAAAAGATAATTCAGGGAAGTAGGCAAATATTTTAATCACCATCCCCAGGGAGGCTACTTGACAGTGGCCCCGAGTTTTTCTTTGCTTCTAAATTAGGGGAAAGGAGCTCTGGTAGTGAAGTGGTTATGAATCGGGCTGCTAACCTCAAGGTTGGCAGTTCAAAACTACCAGCAGTTCCATGAGAGAAAGATGAGGCTTTCTGCTCCTGTAAAAATTTGGTGGTGGTTATATGCTAGGAGTCGGTCCTGACTCACGACCCTGTGCAGGGTTTCCGAGGCTGTAAATGTTTACGGGAGCAGAAAGCCTCATCTACATCCTCGGAAAACCCTGTATAGGGTCACTATGAGTTGGAACCGACTCCATGGTACTTAACAACAACAAATCAGGGAAACATAACAATCCTGGTGCAATGCTGCATGCAGGTTAATGTGTTGGTCTGCAAGGTCGGTGGTTCAAGCTTATCAGTCACTTCTTGGAAACCCTATACAGGGTCGCTATGGGTCAGAATCAACTTGGCAGTACTTAACAACAGCAGCACACCAAACATCTAAAACCAGACTTATTTTCTCATATTTTAAAGATTTGTTAACGATAGGGGTATAAATCTCATCTAACAATTTAAGTTCACAGTTCAATCTTCTGGAAAGATATATATAAAAAAACTTTTGTAAAGACTACATACCAGAAAACTGGTAGTTGAGAGCCACTATTGAGCAGACTCAAGTTTCCCAGAGGAGAAACTTCAGCTATAATAATGCCCCAGGCCTCATTCTTCAACCTGAAGGCAAGCAACTGGAAGAAATGAACTATCCATGGCCCTGCCCCTTCAGGGCTCTTGCAGGACTAGGAATGTCTACAGGACACCAGCACCTCTTTGCCCTGCAGGTGACAATCTGTGGGAGGGAGGAGGGGAGCAGGGAAAGGATCTCTGATATCCAGCATCCTGTGACTGAATGGACTACATTTATTTGAAGGGACAAGAGGCTATTAGCAAACTCATTTGGACACAAAACTACATTCTCTAATCTGCGAGTTAAATTGTTTTTGTTTTGTTTAATCTACTGATTATGGCTTCTATGCAGTTGACTCCAACTTTAGAGGAGGGAAGATAAAGAATAGTGACACCTCACCTTAATTCCAAATCATAACTAGCTCGTTGAAACAGTCATAAAGTCTCCTCTTACTTATCTCTTTTCCTGCTTAGTTTTGTTCCATCCTTGTCCTTTTGTTGTTCCTACCTGACAAATACTCTTACTTTCTTTTTTACATAAGGGAAAAGAGCACGAGCAGAATGTGGGACCCTATCCAGAGAAGCAGCGACACCAGAGATGGAGGCAGAGATGAGGACATGGAGAGATAGAGCAAATGAGGACTCTGGACTCATGGAAAGAGAAAGGCTGTGAGCTAGGGACCAGGAAGCAGGATTGCAAAATGTACCTTTGGTTTTTTAAATGATTATATATTCCTGAGTGTTTTTGTGTACATCCCAAAACAAACAAATAAAACCCCAGAGGGAATAGAAACAAATACTGTTGAATGCTGATGCACGGAGAAGATTGTAATCATTGCAATGAAACCATGAGTGTAAAACCAATGTTCTCCCATGGAAACTATCATTCAATTCACAATAAAAACTTAAATTAAAAAAAAAGAATGATAATTAGGCACCTTTAAAGGATCCATAGAAAGATCAGGGAAAGCAAGGAGAACACAATAAAAACTTTAGAAGAATTCAGGAAAATATTACAAGAACAAACAGACATAATAAATGCAAATTTGAAACAATACAAACCTGCAATGAGAAATCCAGAAGATTAATACTGAGATCTCAGAAATGGACAATATTTTGAAGAGGCAAACAAAGTAGGAGATGCAAAACAATGGAAGCCCAAATTAGTAAGCTTGAAGATAAATCTCTCAATGCTATTATGCTAGAACCATCAGAAAAAAGAATGAAAAAATCCAAACTAAGTCTAGGAGTTATGTGGGCAACATGAGGAGGAATAATTTATGGTGATCAGAAAGAAACAAGCACAGAGAAAACTGTCGAAGAATTGTTGGAAGAAAACTTCCCATACATCATGAAAGACGAGAAGATAAGCATCAAGAAGCTGAACGAACTGCAAACAGGATAGATCCCCAAAGAAAATCACCAAGACATCATAAATAAAATTTCCAAAATCAAAGACAAGGAAAGAGTCCTGAGAGCAGCTCAGGAAAAGCAAAGTTACCTACAAAGGAGAATCAATAAAACTAAGCTCAGATTTCTCAACAGAAACCATGCAGGCAAGAAGGCAATGAAATGACATACATAAAATTCTGAAAGAAAACATGAATCATGTACACAGCAAAGCTGTCCCGTAAATACAATGGTAATATTAAGACATTTTCAAATAAACAGAAATAAAAGAAATTTGTAATAACCAGGCTAACTTTGCAAAAAATGCTAATGGTGCTCTTTGAACTGAGAACCAAAAACAGCAGATAACAATCTGAGATTACCATACCTGACAACACCACCCAGAACTCAATCCAGATATGTTAAGTACCATTGAGTCGGTTGCGACTCATAGCAACCATGTGTAGGGTTTCTGAGGATTGGCTGGTGAGTTTGAACTACCAACTTTGTGGTTCAAACCGATCTTATTAAGATCGAGTGCTTATTCTACAGTACCACACAAGGACTCCAATCCAGATATGGTGGTGGTGATTATGTGCTGTGGAGTCATAGGGACCCTGCACAGGGTTTCCGAGGCTGTAAATCTTTACAGGAGCAGAAAGCCTCATCGTTCTCCCACGGAACAGCTGGTAGTTTTGAACTGCTGACCTTGTGGTTCACAGCTGATTCATAACCACTATGCTACCAGAGCTCCTTCTAATCCAGATATAGAAGTATATAAAGTAAAATAAACCTACAAGAGTAATAAAGGAAACTAGAGATGTCAATATATAATGAAGTCAACTACAAAGCAAAAAGAAAGAATTGTGTAGATACAGAACTTCCAAATGACAAGAAAGTCAAGTAGATGTCAAGATAAAACAGATATTTTAAGCAGGGGAAAAAAAAATAAATTATACAGCAAACTCAAAGAAAAATAATACTCCTGCACACCAAAGTAAAAAAAAAGAAAATTAGAAAGATTTAGTATACATTAACACGACAGAAATGACAATGATCAGAAAACCCACAAACAAAATGAGCTAAGCATAGAAAATTATGTGGAACAAAGAATCCAGCAGCACCATACACACACACACACAGACACACACAAAAACCCATAGAAAAATGACAACAATCAATTTATGCCTATTGATAAATACACACTGAACATAAATAGATTAAATGTACAAATCAAGAGATGTAAAGATCCCCTCAGGGCAAACCCCCTTCCAAGACTAAGACTCAATGGGAATACACGAGCAGACATACACTCTGATTGGTGACTATGTTCGTCACCAATAAGGAGAAGTGAGGGAAAAACAGAAATGAAGCTGCAAGCTAAGCCCTACAATGTTCAATAGCCTGTGAACCCAGGTGGAGACCTGGTTAGCCAGCAGTGTGGAAAGACCCGGGGACTATTGGGCCCAGAGTCAGTGACATAGCCACAGAGGACTAGAGTGGAGAGTGAAGTGTCCAGCTGATAAGAAGAGAGGGCATATGCACAAGAACACCCACACTTGCAGATAATACCCACTCGACCTGGCTTCAATGACTGGATGATCAGAGCTCAACCAGAAGAAGAAAGAAGAGGGGAAAAAAAGCGTAATCTGATACAATTTGATGAACTTGACCTACACCTATGAATGCAGTAACTCAAAAGAGGGAACAAATCTTTACAGCGAGGCTCATTCCCACTCCTTCCACACACAAGAGTAGACAGGGATGGGCAACTTGGACATTGGCTACCCAAAATGGGGGAGGGGGGACAGGGGCTACAAAGGCAAGAAGTGACTGGTTTACAAGCTTTCAAGAGGGACCCTAGATCCAGAGGGTGTGGAGGAAGGTAGACTCTCCACTGAGTAGTATCCAATCTGTCTGGGCGGGGCTAATGAAAGGAAATGGGGATCCTATCCAGAGAAGCAGCGACGCCAGAGATGGAGGCAGAGATGATGATGTGGAGAGATGGAGCGGCTGGGGACTCTAAACCCAGAGAGGGAGAGAGGCTGTGTGCTGATAACCAGGAGGCAGGCTTGCAGGGTGTTCCCTTTGGTTGGTTGATGATACATGGAGGGGATTGTAACCATGGCAATGAAACACCATACGATAGGATGAATGTAAAGCTAATGTTCTCCCAT